GATGGAAAAGTTCCATATCTTCAGTGAAAACAAGGCCAGGGGGAGACTGTGGAACGGACCATCAATTACTCATATGCAAATTCTAACTGAAGCTGAAGAAAATGAAAACAAGTCTACGAGAGCCAAAATATGACCTTGAATACATCCCACCTGAATTTAGAGATCATCTGAAGAATAGATTTGATACAGTAAACACTAAAGAACGAAGACCAGAAGAATTGTGGGATGACATCAAGAACATCATAGATGAAGAAAGCAAAGAGTCATTAAGAAGACAAGAAAGAAGGAAAAGCTCAAAATGGATGTCAGAAGAGACAACGAAACTTGCTTTCCAACATAGAGATGCTAAAGCAAATGGAAGAAATGAGGAGGTTCAAGAGCTGAACAGAAAATTTCAAAGGTCAGCTCAAAAAGATCAAGCCAAATATTACAACAAAATGCGCAAAGATCTGGAATCAGAAAACCAAAAAGGAAGAACACGCTCAGCATTTCTCAAGCTGAGGAAACTGAAGGAAAAATTCAAGCCTCAACTTTCATTATTGAAAGATTATCTGGGCAAATTTTTAAATGATGCAGAAAGCATCAAGAGAAGATGAAGGGAATACAGTGTCACTGTACCAAAAGGAAATGGCTAATGTTCAACCATTTCAAGAGATAGCATATGATCAAGAGCCAATGATACTGAAGGAGGAAGTCCAAGGTGCACTAAAGGAATTGGCAAAGAACAAGGTAACAGGAATTGATGGAATAGAAATTGAAATCTTTCAAGAAAGCGAGGTGGCACCAGAGGCACTCACTGATCTCTGCCAAGAAATTTGGAAGATGACTATCTGGCCGACTGATTGTATTTGTGCCCTTTCCAAAGAGAGGTGACCCAACAGAATACAGAAATCATCGGACAATCTCTTTGATATCCCATGTGAGTAAAGTTTTATTAAAGGTAATACAGAAATGGCTGCAAGCATACATTGACAGAGAACTTCGAGAGGTTCAAGCCAGATTCAGAAGAGGCCGTGGAATGAGGGATATCATTGCTGATGTCCAATGGATCTTGGCTGAACTCAGAGACTATCAGAAAGATGTTTACCAATGTTTTATTGACTATGCAAAGACCTGATTGTGTGGATCATGACAAGCTATGGACAATATTGTAAAGTATGAGTATTCCGGAACACTTAATTGTGCTAATGAGGAATCTGTACCTGGACCAAGAGGCAGTTGTTCAAACAACTGAATGGTTTAAAATTAAGAAAAGTGTGCAACAAGGTTGTATT